TGCTGAACAAATCGTCGTAAACTTGTTATAGAAGCAAGGAATTTTAGAAAAAGATTTTATTTTTTAGTATGTCCACACTTGAATACAATGATTAAAATCTAGAGAGTGAAATTTAGTTGAGATGAGAAAAAGACTATATTGGGTGGAACTGTATTCCGTAAAACATTGGATTCAGAGAATACAGTTTCAAAACCTGTCATTCTAGATTGATTTGTCGGTACTTGTTAGTTATGTACCAAATAACCAGGTTACTATCTGGGAAGACATCAACATACGTGAAACCAATAAAAGATGATGAAGAAATCTAATTACCAAAGAAGAAAAACAAAGGAAGTGATGGTCTGACCAATTCAAAAATCTCTTGAATCGACCACCACCACCTGCACTTCGTCCAGAAACACCACCTGCGGCCCAGCCACAGAACTACCAGTGAACATAAATCCTTCAACAAAAGTCGAAGTCATGGACGCCATAAAGCTATGAAATGGGGGAAAGCAGCAGGACTAGATGGAATCCCACCAGAAGCACTGAGAGCAGACGCACAGACAACAGTGGACATGCACACACCACTATTGCAGAAGGTCTGGAAGGAAGGAAAGAAAGGTACCCGCCCATTGATTGAAAGAACTACTATCTTGTCAAACTCCTAAAGAAGGGAGACCTAAGCCTTTGCAAGAACAGACGCGGAATCACGCTCCTGTTCACCTCAAACAAAATATTAAGCCGCATCATCCTGGAGAAACAAAAAGATGTGCTGGATTCAAACTACGACCAGAACAGGCTGGCTGGCTGGCTGGATTCAGGAAGTACAAATCATGTGGGATCAAATTGCAACACTACGCATCATCATAGAACAGAATAAAGAATGCCAGTCAACTCTCTACCTCAACTTCATCGATTTTGAAGAGGTCTTCGACAGAGTCGATCTAGAAGTAGTTTGACAGACAGCTGCCCCAACACTACAGAATACCACAAACCTTTATCAACCTCATTCAACAGCTATATGCCATATGATGCTATATGCCAAGTGATTCGCAATGGAAAGCTCAGTGATGCTCCTGAAGTGAAGACAGGGGTAAAACAAGGCTGTCTACTATTGCCCATGATATTCCTAATTGTAGTGGACTGGCCATGCAGCAAACAGTGAGGAGCGAGAGGAGGTGGGTACTCTGGACTGGGGAAAAGAACCTAGAAGATTTAGATTTCACCGATGACTAGTGTCTATTGTCACACAAACTTGAAGATGTACAGGCGGAAACTAACAAGTTGACAGAGAGGCAAGGTGAGGCAGCGAAGACGAGACTCTAAATGAACGTAGAGAAGATAGACGTGATGAAGATACTCAACCAACACCACCACCAACAACAACCATCTCCAATCATCATCAATGGGAGAAACCTAAAGGAAGTAGCCTCTTTCACCTATCTGGGCAGCACTGTTTCAACTGCAGGCGGTGGCACAGACGAGGACGTCAAAGTCAGGATTGGAAAAGCAAGACAGGTGTTCATTAGCCTGAAACCAGTGTGGAGATCTACTGCACTCCACATAGCACAAAGAACAAGATCCGGATTTTCAACACCAACGTCAAATCAGTGCTCTTGTATGGCTCAGAGACTTGGCGGGTTACGAAAGGGATTTCCAACAAATTACAGACATTCATCAACAACTGCCTACAGTGGCTCGTTGCTGAAGATCAGATGGATTGCCAGAAAGAATAAGCAACAAGGAACTCTGGCAACGAATCAACCAAGAAATTATCACTCAACAAATATGCACTGGAAGGAAGTGGAAATGGATTTGGCACACACTAAGAAGGCCGATTGGGAACATCACTTGTCAGGCCAATTGCTCGAGTGGAACCCCGATGGGAAGCGACAAGTTAGGCGATGGTCTCCGAGGGTGACATGGAGGAGACTGTGCGAAGAGGAAATGAGAACTTGTGGGCTGTCGTGTTGCCAGGTTCAAAAGATTACAGAGAACAGAGTGAAATGGAGACGCGCTAGTGAAGCCCTTTGTTCCATTAGAAACCCAAGGGGCAAATAATAATAATAATAATAGTTAGTTATGTACCAAGAATCCAAGTTTTGGTGTACAGGAGGAATGACTCACTTCATAACACCTGCTATAGACAGAAATCGTTTAACAGATCATAATGAATTAAGATGGTGTAGAACGGGTCATCCATTTTCGCCTACAACTTCCTGAAAGCAATTATCAATTATCTGTTCCAAGAAAGGCATTATGGTGTTCAGATCACCTAGTTATTGTGTTGCACACGAATCAATTAGTCTAGCCAGTATCTAACTTTAATTTTAGCCTTTTCGCAATGATCATTTACAGATTTCCATTATGTTTCTCAAAATTTCTGAAGAAGCCTCAGTAGCTGGTCAAGTGATTTAAAGGGAAGATAACCGACTTTGAGATAGCTTCAGGAAGCTGTTTCTTTTTGAAGTGCAGTGTGAAGACTACAAACAGTGACACGAGTATATTGATATATCTTTTCTATTATTGGTAAATACATTGTGTTCATTCAAGTGGTTCTAGTTTATGAAAATCACACCTCAATCGATCAGAAAATCCAAAAATTCTTTGGTTTGATCTAACAGTAAACTAATAACATAGCGGTTTCTTTTTTTGCACAGTATTAGCAAAATATGAAACAGAGGAAAGAAACCACGTTGCAGTGAATAAATAACATCCTGGCCAACAAAAGATGAATAATTAAAAAGATCAAGGTAAATGAAGGTAGAGAGAAAGAGTGAAGATGATTTCAATGAGCAAATTTCCTTTCTAAGGGGTATCATTTACGCAAGCTGTATAACCTTATTTATAATCAGTGGAAAGAAATAAAGTCTTATTATTGAATAATATATGTAGATCGTGTCAGTTGTATGATATTAGAAAGAAGACGAAACTGAGTCAACACACGAAAAGGATAACGCTTCAATCTATGAGATCATGAGCGTAATAAAAAAGTATGGAATTCTAGCTGTGGATTTCCTCGCGAATTAATAGGTGCAATGAAGTTAAAGCACAAGCTGAACACAGTGAAAGTAATTGATTAAATAATTACTAATGAAGAAGTCAGAAAGAGAGTCACGACCAAAAAATGATTGCATACAGTTTTTCTTGTTTACTAAGAACACGTTTGCTTTGGTCAGTCACCAGTTCCTCCACCTATCTAAGGCTTTGTAACTGACTGATTTTGAAGGCCAACTGAAGCTTTATAAAAAACCCGAAAAGATTACTCTAGTCGTGACTTGTAAATATAACCAATCATCTAGGTATTCATGAATCGATATACTGATCTAATTGTACGAATCTGACGATAGAAGGAATTCGCTGAGAAAAACCTGCTTTAAAAGATCTGTATAACTAGTTTCATTAGAGGAAGTAAGGCTGTAAATGAATAGTGAAAAGGTCTGGAATTCCCATTGTCTTTGATACATTCACATATCTTTTTCCAGCGAAAAAAGGTGAAAAGGTAGAAAATGCAATCTTTCTCAAACAATTAGACAGTTAGTTCTGCAGAAATTTCATTATCAAGTTATTCATGAAATTGGTATTCATAAATGGGATTTCATTTAGAATGTGAAGAGAGTATCAGATACTACTTCAGACTGAAACTTTTATTTATAAATCCATATAGATAACTAATTTGAGTACATATCTACTAGAGCGCCCCTGGTTATAAAACCCCTTCAGTATAGAATACACTGAACGAATTTATTTTCAACTTCTGTTCAGTGGTGTATAACTTCAAAAATGTGTTTTATGTCTATTCCGTGTTGATATTATGGTGAAACACATGATTCAACTTCATGCGCTTGATTCTTTTGGCATGCTTAAACCAAGCACAGAGAACCAAGATTGTACGGTAAGTTGGTGCATTTATTTTACTAATATTTTTAAACATCTCATAACCTCCAGACATCTAGTGGATCCTAATAGTTCTTTCAAAGTCATTTAAATGTGTCTAACCATACAATTTTAAAGCATCTCAACTAATTAGTCAGTATAGAACCCAGTCATTAGGAACTAATGGCATGAAGTCTGATCCTTGTGTTTTAAAACAATGGCTACCTTTTCCTTAGTTGACTTTCTAGCTTTTTGATTATGTTTGTCAGTAAGTAATTTTCAGCTATTTTGTAACTTTTAGATTGAACTATTCATTTTTTACTAGTTATGTAATACTTCTTTGTGGCTTTGGTTTCTACACCTTCCTTTCAAGTTCAGACTAATCTTCTTAGTGTGCAACAATATTTCCGAATACACTACCATTATTCGGTTGATTTCACATAGTTTTGGTAAATATGAATACTGTTGTACAGCTTTGAAAAGTGAGACCATTGAAGAGGAAAACTTTTTTGATGTTACATCTTTTTTCTATAACATCCATCATCTACATACAGCCTAAAATTAAAACAACATTCTTTACGTTTGCAGAATTCATATTTCGAGATGATGCAGAACACATAGCTAAGGAGGATGATTTCGGTGGTGTTGTGTTCCCCAAGATGGATAGTTTAATTGAGTAACTTTTATTGTCATTCTAGACAACATCAACACAAACTATAGAAAGATGATATTGTCTCTTGTGACACTGAAAGCTTCACATTTGAACCGTCCAGCTTAGAGAGAATACAGACCCATCAAAGTTTTATTTCATTTGAAAGTAACCTAAAGTTTAAATGCACACTGGATTGAATTAACTAGGTTAATCCATCAACCTGGACATCATTGTTGATATCTTTAGAAAATTTGGACCATGGCGAAATTCGAACTAGCAACCGCCAGGTTTCTTTCAGTTATCACCCACTATCGATACAAGTCTGCCAAGTCACATCTATTTCATATAGTCAAAATAATAATCTTTAGAAAAATGAAGAACACTTAGAATTAGAAGTTATCAGCACAGAATTAAAGTCTGTCTCAAATCACTTTGATTTTTTGCAGTTACACAATCATAATGTACAACTTTTGAAGAGGCTTTAAACAAGTCTAAGGGCAATTGCAAAGATCGTCCATTGCTTTTCATGTGGACAAACGTAAAGAAACTGCGTAGTTGAGTTGCCACTCTTCATTTCGTTTTGAATTCAACCTTTGGATACATTTTAACAAGATTGGTGCTAATTGTATTCTTAACATTCAGGGGGACAACTTTCAAGGTGTAAACTGATGACATTATCAAGACGTAAAATCCATAGTATATCTACCATTGTGAGGTGTAATATAGATAAATATAGATAGATGCATTAATATTTTCATAATTTTGTCTATGCCGCCTAACAAATATTTCATTTTGATTTAATACTACGAATAATATGCTTAAATATATTAATGTATACAAATCTTTTCAGTTCACTGAGAAGTGATCAACAAAAGAACAACCCTAGTACACAATTAGTGATTGGGAGTCATTGAATAATGCACATAAACACAGATATCTTATATTAAGTATTTAATCCAATGAGCGACTAGTGATAATCATACAATTTTACTATATAATAATATCGTCCAAATAAGTGGATATTTTTATGAGTTGATCATTACATCAGGTTTTAGCTGCTTATATAATTTTACTCATACTAACAATATTACCAATTTAATTGTTTAAAATAGTAGCGTTTAATTTCTATTGAAATTAATTTAATTAGTTAACTGTGTACAAATAATTCTGATGATAAGAAATATAAATGTACAATGATATTAAATTCAACATCGTTTATCACTTTTATTCAACTTTATTTTATGTATGCTTTCCTTGTATTCATATCTCAACATACAACATTACTTTTTTCTTTGCCTGTTATAGCACTGAAATATTTTGATTCAGTATTGAAGTAAACAAGCCAATCAACAAAACGCAACTTAATGACTGAAACAGCAAATAGAAAGAAAGAGGAATTATTAACTAGTGATAGTTATGGTAATCTGTTGGATTTTTCTGAATATACAGATCGTCAACCGGAGGTTAGTTTGTTAAAATGTATTTTGATCATTATCCTTATCATGAATAGATTTGATTATTTTGTAAAATTTTTGATTCATGCAAGTATGCCATGATATAGTAAACTAGTTTTAAAAATAGTTTCGTTTTAAGAAAGAACTTTTATATATCTGTAGAAAATATTATATATAACATGAAACTTTTGAAAGGACTTTATCTGAGTGAAAACTGTCATTTAAGATTAGTTTGTAATTTTTCTATAACATTGATACTGATAAGCATTATTCATTGCTTAATACCTAGACGGGTAGCGGAATAAGACGATTCTTCCTACTTTTTAATATCAATAGAATAGTACAAACTATGAATTACAAAGTTTTGACAAAGATATATGACTAATTGTCATCATGAAATCTTGTGAGTTTGTTGCTTGAGTTGAAGAAGGCAAGTGTTCTGTTGAACAGAGCTGTTCATAGATGAAATATTTCCAGTATATTTTCAGATCAAGATGAAATCGATCTTTGAAATCATAAGTTACCACTAACTATGTGCATGATGAACTAGATAATTCACTGATGTCCTGAAAATAAGGAAGTACTTTCGATACTTTTCATTACAATTCAGAGCAAAACACTTCCACTTAAAAATATTATGTCTGCATAAAATTTAATTAGTTCGAGTATGTAATGTAAATTTTGACTAAACTTCACGGTTTCTTTTTCAACCTAATAGCCAAACTTTGGCCTTCTATTCGATATTGATGGAGTACTTGGCCGTGGACTAGAAGTGTTACCTCAAGCAGCAGAGGCATTCAAACTGTTGTGTGACCCTGATCAGAAGGAACTACGAGTACCAGTTGCTTTTGTAACTAATGCCTCTGGAGATGCTTCAGCAAGAGCTCGCATGATATCTAAATGGTTTGGCATAAAAGTAGGTTATCACATTTTATCATAAATTTATCTTTATTTAGATTAGCCGTTAGATAAACCACATATATAGTCTCCGGAAAAATGTATATAAGCACACAAAAAGATTATTAGTTGTTTTTTCAATTCATAGTCTGAAAACACACTTACTCAAAAGTAAGCATACTTATTTGAGATTTTGTTGATAAAATTCAAAGCAATACACTTGAGAACATACATAGTTTCTAGCAGAATACAACTACTGTATGATCACAAAGTTATACGGCATACTGCTCATAAAATCAGTGTTACAAAAATTAAATAACTTTCTGGTGCCTAGATTATTTGGTCTCAGTGAGACAATTTATGGTTTTTCAATGCGTATATTATTTAATAGTCTGGTTCACAAATGTGTATAATAGATTTGATGACATTTTATCCTTAAAAAAGTATGTCGAGATCTTTTGACTCAGAAAATGTGAGCGCTTAAGGATGGAGGTTGATGAAAGTGTAACGCATGTAAAATCATTACCGTATTTTAGTAAATTTAGTTTCTTACTCAAATAAATAGTTATAGGTTTTTGTACAGCTGATACTCTATATGTGGATTATATACTGTAAACGAACACAAATTCAAGAGATTATGTACTTATTAAATTTATGTAACAACGTGCAGATAGAAATTATGGTGTTTAGTCACTTTCTAGTTTGTTCCTAAATTGTCATTGAAGTGTACTGGGATTACCCACTTTACCACTCCATTGCACCATTAGTTAGCATATCAACTAGTTATCTTGGTGAAATTATTAGAATATAGAAGAATAAGTATAGTAGAATCTTAAGAATATCCATCAAAACTTAAAATTCTTATAATTTTCCCTTACTTCCTATCACAAACCCTTCTATGAAGTCACTTTCTTCTATTGCATGGTATCAGTGCCTTATTGATAATGGATGAATATGAAACATTTAAAACTAAAATATTTATTCATATCTTCAATTGTTACTACATTTTCTTACGTATTCTTTTATGGTATTTTAGTCCAGATAAATAAACTAACTACTTTAAAGATAGTCTTGAAGAGTAAGTACTCATCTATGCTTTTAATACATTTTGATTATCTTCATGTTTAATTTTTTCGTCAAAACTTCGAGCTATGCATGTAAATTTGCAGACCTTTTGACGAACTAAAAATTCAAAGTTATTGTGAATACGTGAGGTAAAATTGAAATGTAGTCTAAGGATCTTGTTATTGAACCAAGTTAATAGACAGTGGGTTCAAACAGACTTCTTTTACTACGATTTCGTCTGGTTAAGACATCATTTATGATTACATGCGTAGTTCATCGAATAATGAGTTATTCAGTGTCATTCTCACTGACCGATTAATGTTCGTCTTTCTTGTAACAATAAATTGTCTGGCATCTGATATGCATAGTTGGTTATAAACTACTCAAATGTTTAACTAACATTATCAGAAAATAAATGGTGTGCATAGAACTAGTTGGGAAATTTCTACTTTTGGCTTTGAATTAGCTCATTATAATCTCTAGTACCATTACCCGCTAGATTCTCAACACCTCCATTCGATTACCAAACACTTCTGATGAGAGTGAGTGACTTTAAACTACTTGCATTATACACTTATTTTTCAAGGTCAAGTAGATAACATATGATAAGCTGAATGTATGATTCTAATCACAGACATTATACTTTACAATAATTCTATTAAGTTTTCTATGAGAATTTTTATTTTCAACAGATAAATGATATAAATTAATATATGAAACAGAAAGTCCTCTTCTATCACAGAAATGTTTCAGTTATCCTAAGATTTTATCTAGCAGTTACCAGAAAAGTTAGCTGTCTAATACTTGGAAATAAAATTGTTTCTCTAAAAGACGATTAAATGATGAGTAAATATATTTTTGAGATGAATAGGGATTTTTAATATACAAGCAGTATTCATCACGGATTAACATCAGTTGGGGAACCATTGAAAATCTGGGAGCGCTGGACATCTTTTTCATCCTAGTATGGGACAGTCGGAAACTGTGAACCACTGTAAACCGACCTGGTAGCTGAATGGTTAACGCGTTTGCCGTAAGACCTGAAGGTCCTGAGTTCAATCCTTAGCCGGGTCATGAGTGTTTACTGACAAGGAGTCCCATATTACGATGAAACATCTGTCCAGTGCTCTCGGATTTCCAATGGTTCCTTAACTGATGTCAGTCCGTGATGAATACTACCTCTAGTAAGTAAATGTATTCAAAGGGCAGTCTAAGCAACCGTTCCGGGAATAACCGTATTTATATCCTTCATATTCCAACAGTAACACTTGTAATATCGTTGTTCGATCTTATAACCTTATTTTAAGGATCGACTGACTATGAGAGATTAGGCTGATGGTAGTATAGTGTATTTCCTAGTTTTCAAATAACTGAATCCTTATATAGATAGTAAAATCCTAAGTGATGGACAGTCCATGGCATCACAGATATGTGTACTAAAGTATTTAGAGAAGTTTACTAGTTCCTTCAAGCTGTCATGATGTAAAGAACCACTGTAGGAATAAGAATATGAATAATACTCTTATCAGAAACTTACGAGATTGACATGAATCAACTAACTGGGAATAGGATTTTGTAGCTTGTGAAGACGTATATTCCTTAGAAAATAAATCAAGCTTATCCTATTTTTATGTAACAAATTTTTTAGTTCCAAAAGAACATGAACCTCATAAATGTGTTAGAAAACTACAATTTAAAATTAATCTTTCTCTAAATATTTGTTTAACTCCATTCGACATTTAATAGTTAACTTTATAACTTTGCATAAGATATAATTCAAAGTAAAATGTTTCAGGTGCTATTATTATAACCATTATTTTTCACCTGGGTTCCTAGTGGAAAATAGGGATTCAGTAGCATACCTCCATTGCACTCTATTCTCTACAGTCTTTTGAACCTAGCTCCACGACTACCTACCCAGAAGCTTTCATTTCTTTCTCACATGATCTCCTCCATCCCACCCTTGCCTCAAGCGACAAACTCGTCGATTCCCCTCTGGGTCCACACGACGGCCTGACCTGGTGCGTCATGTCCCCAATCAACCTTCTCAGTGTATACCCAATCCAATTTGATCCACTTTCTTATGCATATCTCTTAGGTGATAGGTTCCTGATTGATTCGTTCCCAGAGTTCTTTGTTGCTTATCTCTTCTGGCCATCTATCTATCTGGTCTTCAGTATCGAGTGAGTGTAGGTGGCAGGTGTTGATGAATGCCTGTAGTTTGTTGGAAGTGCTTTTCGTAGAGCACCATGTTTATGAACCATACAGAAGCACAGATTTGATATTGGTGTTCACGCTTCATGTTGAGAGCAGTACAGTGTAGTAGATCTGCACACTGGTTTCAGGTTAATGAACACCTGTCTTGGTGTCTTTCTGATCCTGGTTGGATTGACATCCTCATTTGTGCCTGTGCCGCCACCTGTAGTTGAAACGATGCTGCCTTGCCTGGGTAGGTGAAAGAGACTACTTCCTTTAGATTTCTCCCGTTGATGGTGATTGATGCTTGTTGTTGTTGTTGTTGTTGGTTGGGTATCTTCATCACCTGTGTCTTCTTCACGTTCACTTGAGGCCCCGTCTTTGCTCCCCGGCATGTTCTGTCAACCTGTTAGTTTTTGCTTGTAGATCTTCGAGTTTATGTGACATTAGATATAATCATCGTCATGAGTGAAATCCAAATCTTCTAAGATCTTTTCATCTGTCCAGCCAGCTTATGCCCCTCATCTCTCTCCTCACAGTTTGTTGCATGATCTAGTCCAGTCGACCAAAATACAATCAGGAAGATGATGGGTGATTATAGGCTGCAACCTTGTCTTGTCTTACTCCTGTCTTCACTTCAAAAGCATCACTGAGCTTTCCACTGTGAATCACTTGGCATGTGGCATCTTCATATAGATGTTGAACGAGGTTGATAACGAATTGTAGAACTCTGTAGTGTTGAGCAACTGCCAAATTACTACGTATACTTTAACTATCAAAGTTTTGTACTCTGCTGCATATTTTATTATATAAGAAGATTAATTTCAATATATTTTCGGAATTTTATAATTTACAATGAACTGAAATCTCTGTTGACAAGTGCCATAAACAATTTAAAATGTTCGCGTTAACGATGAAAAAAAAAGATATAGAAATTGTTGATTGAAGAACATTTCCACTTGTCGAGTTTTTAAATGTTTTGAGACTAACTGAGATTAGAAAAATGAGGTCATAGTGAGTTACTTATAATGAAAATGAATATATTAATGACCTTCTTTTCAGTACCTAATTTTAAACGATTTAAATCACTTCCAAAAAAACAAACTATTTATGATTATGGAAACAGACAAATTATAAAAAATGTTTTTGTAAATTAAATTTCTATCAAGTAAATTACAAAATAATTTGTTATGAAATGTTAATAATACCTTGCTTGACAAAAAATTTGTTATACATTTTCGTTCATTCATAACATATTTTACTTAGTATCCATCCACAGGATGATATTTCAATAACGGTATAGTTTGCATATTTATTCCACAGTAAATATATAATTTTTTTTAGGATTTAGTTTCAGCTGTTACTTTGTACTTCAGTTTAACTGAGACAATCAATTGATCTCATGCTATCATGCTATTGTGCTTGACAGCATACACAACTACTTATTAAATTCACTATCTTACTAGATTATTTCTCCTACAATTCTGCTAATCCTACTCACTTTGAGTAGCTGATTGATTCAATGTATTCATCTTCCAAGTTAATGAATGAAATTCACTAGACTCAATTACTTTATCTATTAGACCGTATGGGATCACTGAACCCATAAAGCTTGTGAGTTTATAGATGTAGTTGGAATATTCTGTTATGATCAGATGTCCAATCCTCATACAGTTACACTAAAGAAGATTTGAATTGGCTTTTAATGGTGCAACCATTATCATATTCGTTAGTCATATTTATCGTTTTATTACAATCAGTATTTATCTCACTTCTTCAAGTACAATTTTGAATGAACCTAGTGATTAATTTTATTAGTTTTTAAAGTTCTTTGTAAGTCTTACTCCCTGGCACAGCCATTTTCATTGTCTGCTTACTATTTTGGTTTTATATTTATGAGACACTTCAAGGTTTGAATAGATTTATACTTTTCTAAAAGATCCAATACCTTGTCATCTTTTTATTCTGTTCACCTATAAACATTTTTAGTCGAAAAGTAAATTCCAATGGCATCGGTTGCCGAATTTGCATCTAAAATCTGATCCACCGTTTTTGACTTTGAAGATGTAAGTGTGACACTATCAAATCTTCTGTATTCAGTATCCTTAAAATGCATTGCATGCACTACTCACAAATGATACTTATTCTATATATCTAAGATATTCTACCATCCAGCTTACCAACTAAAATAAACTCTACTAGACTTCAGCATAAACTTTAAATTTTTTTCACTGGATTGTGATGTTATAATCAAAAATATCTTTTGACAGTTTAGGGTATGACACCAACTATCGTTTATTCTACTTTTTAAATCAGGTTGGCTCATGCCAACGTCATAAATTCTCTTTTGTACAACTGAGAATTCTCTTTTTTTCTATTAACATTGAGCTAAAGCATGTGACAAATCAGTTAGTGTTTATTATGAAAATACTTATTCACTAGTCATCTTAGGTTCCAACCTGCAAAACTTGAGCTAAAACATACGTTATCTACTGTAAACCAGCGGTCTATTTAAACCTTGGGCTATCAAACATTTTCTATTGAATATATTTAATCAAGTCCGTCCTTTTGTTTTTGTTTTAATCTTTAAAAGTTTTTCTAAGTGTATCATATACTCTAGCACGTCATCAAACTGTCATTTTCTAAGTTAACAACACAAAAAAAGTCAAAATGATACGCTGGATGGAAATAGATTTACAAATGCATAAAAATTCTGCACATTACTGTCTCTAAGATATCTATATCGAATTGCAGATTTTTGTTATGGTTGAATGAAATACTACGACTAAAATTACGTTTGATTTTCTGTTCGTTCTCTAGTCTAGACCAGAACCTAATGCAACACCAAGCCACTTGTTTCACATTATTGCCTTTAAAACTATTGTTATTAACATTATTCAGCTGCAATAACTATTTCGTTTAGAAAGATTGTACAGGGAGTGAATTTGTTAAAATACTGAGTGCTGATAATTTTATTCGGTATCACCATTCTGTTTGGAATAAAACAGTTATAAGTGAGCAAAAATTAGATTACACTAAGGGAATTATTATACTTTTCACTTGCAAATTCTTTATATCGAATAAACTTCGCCTAGCCCGTAGCAGTTAATGCGGAACTTATTTATTTTGTTTGACAAGATTGAGCTAACGTCTTTCAAAGTAATTTGGTTTGAGTTTTATGGTGATTTATTTATTTCTAGGTAGTATTCATCACTAGTTGAGATCAGCTGGATAACTACTGAAAACCTGAGAGAACTAGATAGCTGTTTCATCCTGGTACAAGATTCTTTAGCACTCATGATACTACAGGAGATCGTGGAGAACGTGTTAACCATTTAGTTATTGGGTCAGTGTTCAATGGTCCAGTACTGTCATTTCGTGATATAACGCTTCTGTCATCTAAGTGAAACTCATGCCAAAGGCTGACCATGGAAGATAACCCCATTATATTGTGACAAAAGTAGGAAAGTGAACCGTTGAAATCCGGCCCAGTGGTTGAAAGGTTAATGTGTTCTCCACGAAATCTGAACATCGTAAGATGGAACCGTGGTTGGGTTGGTGCGTACATTCTGCTGAGGAGACTTATACTAGGAAGAAATAGATAGTGAATCTTTCAGCACCTGACGATTAATCAAAGGTAGAGAGGTGAAAAATTTTACGAGTGTTAATATGCTATTCTTTCTCATAAGTATTTCAGTATTTTAAAATAGTCATATTTGCTTTTAATTCACTATAGAAGAATCATTCACTATTTACAATAACCAAACAAATAATATGAAAATGAAGATAGTAGCAATAAAGAGGTGGCCAAAAAGAGATACTTACATGCCAATATAAGTCAATCACTTCAATTCAGAAAAGTCAAGTGTAATTACAAAATCTAATAGTTACAGGTTATACCCAGTGAATGAAAGTGAGAGTCATGACCTAATGTTTTAATGTTTTATTTCATTTAGGTATACAATGATCAAGTAATCCAAGCACCTAGCCCACTATCAGTTTACAAAGAATTTCATGATAAATGTGTTCTGTTCATTGGACAAGGAGATATTACTGAAATAGCAAAAGAGTAAGAAATGTTCATATGCTTATTTACTAAGTTTATATTAAAATAGTTGTACACTACTTATTAGTAGACTAAAAATATGGTCATAATTTTGGATTGTTGATAAATAGCAGCAAAAATTTTATCAGCCTTTTGTAAAGAGGGAATCAGTCTATAAACTACCATCATTATTATTGCTATTCATAACGATATTTAAAATAGGATAATTTTTAAGTATTTAGTAAATAGTTCAAATGCACTGTGAATCTATAAAAAGTAGAGATAAGTGAATTGAAATCCATCATTATTTGCAGACTGTCATATTCCAAATGAAAGGAAGAAACATAATTGGTTATTTGTGTACTTACTAGGTTGGCTAATGAGTCATTCCTTTAAACCTATTCCAGAGTTTGAATACAAAGGACAATTTAGAGCGAATGACCTTCATTTAAACCATGTTTGTTTTTTCAGTCGGAAAAGTTGGAACTGCCTTTTAAAATGAGAAGATACTTAATTACGAACGTAAAAAGTCAGGTGACTGAGATAATGTATCGTTTTTTGTTCGAAAGATTTAGATATTGATTTATTCAGGTGTTGATGAATTTATGGATAACTTTGATGGCCACCCTAGCAACGACAGAAATAACCAATTAAGTTTCTCCATATTTCAGGTAGAAAAGCAGATTTTCATAAAATAGAGAAGTCTAACTGGTTATTTCAGCTGTTGCTAGAGTGGCCGTTAAAGACAGTCGAGATTATTGAGTCTTGCCTTGGCATGAATGCTGAATCCTGTGATTAGTTTATAGACGGCTCGATTATCACTCTATCCTATCACTCTATCCAACAGATAATAATATTTTGCATAATATGAAAAATTACCAAACTATATGAATAGTAATGTTCAATGTTGTAGCGAAATTCACCTGTTTAGTAAATCTATGTGTAAAAGAAGGAACATAGCCTGAAATGATTTTGTTATTCTTAAAAAAGGTAATAAAATTTATTGTTATAAGCAGTACTGAGGTCTGAAATTATGAATAATAGTTCATTTTACGTTCACACTTTGCATTGAGCGTTTTATTATTTACATCACAGAAACATTAAAAAAGTTAACTAACTAACAGTAATTTATGAAAGCCATTTTTATTGCATATTTAACACTTTGTAGGCCTAATTTGCATGATAGTTGCACAGGCCTTTCCATGTCAGCGTAATAACTATCTAGACAGAAGTTAGTAGCGGGTTCGATTAAATCAGTGTGTAACTTTTGATTCTGATTTTTTTCAAATGATATTTCTATGGTAGATTTACTAAATAATGTAGAATTTTCATCTGAAATAAAAGCGACACAATTACCTTCTGTTGAACAAAGGATCGATATTATAGTTCACTATCCTGATAGTTATGGTTATGTTATACAATTCACTGGCACTATGGTGCTGAAACCGACAGGAAGATGCAATTAGGATATTGGTGGAATGTACTCACCTAACTAATGAAGCAAAAGTATTCCTACTGTAAGTGGTTATAGACGTCATTAGTGTTATTCAATGGCCTAAATAAGTGTTGATAGGGCTGGTTAATCGACTTCGTGCCAATTCTCGTTATATATATATATATATATATATATATATATATATATATGCTATATAAGTGGAATTATGACTCATCTGTTTAGAAAGTCAACATTCATTCAAAAACTCACGTGTTTGAACCCTACTTCACCTTGTGAGGTGCTGGCAACCAAGTAATTTCATCAGATGTTACACAAGAAGTGTGGTTTATTGCCCAGTATCTGAATCTACATATGGTTACTGAGTTGTGTTTCAGTTTAATCGATTTTGTATGCATTCAAAGTTAACTGCAGTAGACTGAAATGGTTACACGCATGAGACGTAAATAAAAACTATCGAGATGACAATTTCACTATGAATTCTAATTAACATAAGTGTACTTCTTCCAAAGTAGTCACACATAACAACTCATACTCATCTACTGTAAAGTAGTAAGGTATGAAGTTGTTGAAATGGTATCAAAAATAAAGTAGTAAAAGTGCATAGAACTGCATGCTGATGTACACTGTATGGAAAGCTTATGATAATCGAATCGCCTAACAGTCAGTTACCAGAGCAACATCCCAATGACCAGCACTGGTTAAATTCCATGAAGTAACGATTTTGATATCATGATAAATTACATTACGTGGTATTACAGTGAACTGTGTCACTTAAGTTTGAAGGGGATGATAAGAAGCCTTAGGTATGTTTATGGATTTCGCCAATCGGATGAGTATGTCTGGTCATAGGAGAGGGTCTGTTCATCCTATGAAAGTGATTTCAGCAGAAGATCTACACCGTTTTTCCTAGCTAGTGTACCAGAAAATTATGGATTCCCTTGACATGATCAAATTTTCTACCTGTGGTTTCTCACATGCATGCAACGATAGTTGTATGACTGTTTACAAACTATTTCCAAATATTAGTACTGTAAAACGTTTAGCTATATTAATAAACAAAGTCAATAAGTTTTTTGTCTCAAGTTAATAACCATCACAAATTGAAATCGATTGCATAACAGTTGAAAACTCGGGAGCACTGAACAGTTATATGAGACTCCCCAGCAATGCACAACCACGACCCCATCAGAGATCAGGCCTAGGATTGTCAAGTTTCGCGGATTACATACACCAACTCAGACACTAAGTCGGTATCCAATGATACACTAGTTCTTACTTCGATCGATATGCGATATAACACGACCACCATCCTATGTCAACAGTGGGTATCCATGTCACTGCCGAACTGTCTGTTGCCACAGGTCATGACATCTCGTCTGAATTTCGAAATTCAATCTACAAGTAAGTCAATATCGAGTACTCAAATCTCCACTGTCGACATTATTTATTTAAATCCAGAAAAATAACCAAATCGATGTAAAAGATTCCCAATGTCTTCTGCTTCTGGGTAGGAAATAAATCTGTGATATCCACTACAAGTGGTAAAAGTATCCAAAATCCCATGCAAAATAATAAAGCTAATATCTTATAAAGGATAATTCATGAGTTTTACTCTTCAACACTTAGTTCGGTGATAGGGAAGTTGTTTTCAGTCCGAACTAAAGACAAAAAGTGACATAGAAATTAACTCCTGGTTTAACAAAAACTCGAATACAGTTCCAAAAGCTTGGCAGTAACAGATACACTAACCAATGTTATATTTTCCTTTCACATACCTTATGAATTTCCAAATTATCCTATATTGTTCTTCAAATCTAAGGTCTCACTCAATTCGAACTAAAACCAGACTACATGCAGTAGTAAACTCCTTCATACATACTTCTAAAAAACGATAATCTTAGCATAAATGAATAGGAATAACATGATAACATCAAAAGCACTGAACAAACAAACAGTTTCAGATTTATTTTCATAAGTGTTGGCGATGACTGACTTCTCAGTTTTTTAGATAGAAATAACAAGCTTTCGACAGTAGATAATATTGTTGACACACAGATAAACTATCAAACCTTACTAGTCTGATAGATGGACTTGTGATATTCGGAACTGACTGCAGGAAAGCAATACAAGTAAAGGTTTATTCAAAGACGAATTCTAAAAAGGGAAATATTTGCACATTCTTAACTTTGATGGTAGTTATTTCCATATACTATCAGGGTGAAAAAAAGTTTCTTTCTTCATAATAATCAGCCTTTCGATAAAAAATCTAAGCGGGCTAAAGTTATCTTATAAGTGCATATAATAACAAGGTAAAAACCAGACAACATCGTCTACAGGTCAAAACCAAATTATGATGAAACAAGTTATTCCACTTAAACTTTCATAGAACAGACATAAACAATACTAGTATACGTCTTGACATTATTATTTTGCAGAGTAAAATTGTGGATACATGTCTAATTCAACGAAAAAAACTTGCACAATTGAAGAATTAGTGAGACGTACTAGTTTTTGACTTACTGTCGAATGTCACTAGTTAATAATTAATTAAATAATTAATTAATTTTGACGTGAAACTGGTGACTGGTTCAGAATCTCATCCTATTATTGTATCCTATTATAGTATGAACTCAAGGTAATCTGATTTCGTTAAGCAAACACATTAAATTTGTATATATTGTACTTTATCATTGTAAGTAGTCTATTTAAACTATCCATTTATCAACAGGTGAAGTGAAAACATCTTGTTGAGGAGAAATTTCAACATACAAGTACATGAAGTGTGTCAGTAGTTCATACCTTTCAAATTCAATAAATTGAAGCAATAGGTATGAAAACTAGCAGTTTATAAGACGTTAATAATGGTGCTTATTGTCTTCTTCAAAGCGGGCAACATTAATTTATGTAGTTCTTAGTGGTGAGATAGATTTTTTCATCAATTCTGTGGCTATTAGCACAAGCCTGAGTAAACTAGAGACAATAAATATTATTTGAGTTGTAAATGTATATTTCTGGTGAATGTGAAGAAAAGCTGAACTCATGTTCGAGGCCTTTTGTTGATTTCCGTTAGCATTGTAACAAACTTGAGAGCGGCTTGTAAATTGGAGTTGTGGCTCATTAGTTTGACAAGTTGACTTTTATCCAGTTGGTTAAGAGTTCCAACACCGTCCCCTTTACCGAGATTTAGGCAACCAAGTAGTAACCCTAGCCTTAACACAATAGACTTGGCTGATTGCCTGGAGCATGAATGCACACAAAGTTGCTGAGCTCCTACCATATGAAAGTTCATTGAAGATTAGATATTTAATCATCGGTACAAAATTCTACTGCTTGATTTTATTAATGCCGCTAATCATCTTATATTTTGTCGTTTCCCTTTTTTTTTTACACACTTACAGTCTTGGATTCACAAATGTTGTGACACTTGAAGATGTTAAAGCTGCCTATCCATTATTAGATATGGTTGATCAAGTCAATCGAAGACGTATTGTACGTTAAACCGTCAAAAATTAACAATACTATGTTAATAATCACAGTAGTATTTTAATAGAGTGGAAATTTTTTATTGTACTTCAAAATGTATGCTTCTCTAGATCGATCTCCAAGATATTTTAGCATTACAGACCATGATCATATATAAAAAACTGGTGAGAAACTTAAGACACTTCATAATATAACGTTTTCCGGATACCAGACACTTCTGGATCATGCAGTTTGCGTGCATTTATGTAACTGTATCGGAATCTGAAATGTAACAATCTCAACATTTTTCTTCGTCTAGACATCTCACGCTATTCTCCGCTTTTTTGCCACTTTATATGATAAGCTATTGTGATAATTTTTATTTCCAATGTAGGATGGATTTTAATTGTTTGTATTGGTTCTACTGCATTTAACTTGGAGACTGAGAGTCTGTAGAAACAATGATCAGTGTTTCTGTACGACAAAAAGTTATTTTAAATAACTAAAAATGAATACGGGGTGATGATTGAAGGCGAAATGAAAATTTGAACCACGGCGGAATGTGAACCAGCGACCACCGGGATTCTGGATAGGTGCTCTACCAACTGAACTACGAGGTCCGAATGATGATCAGACTTTTATTTCACTTCAATCACTAGGGGTTCTGCCCAACTACCACGTGAATTCGTGATGCGTTACTATCACTTGACCGTACTCACATTGGCCATCTAGTCAGGACTTCTCATCCCAATCCAAATGTAAGTGAATTAGAATAAGAAGGGGTATATCATACTGATTGTCATTTTGACTGTCTGAGATAGCCGTGGTTTGGAGACTAGCATCTGTACTGCGTAATGATTGAAGGTGAAGTGAAAATTCGGATCGCGTCCGGATTCGAACCGATGGCCACGGGGTTTTCAACCCGGTTCTGTATATCCAATAATCACCCAGTATCAATACTATTCTACCAAACCACGGGTGTCTCAGACAGTCTAAATGGTAATTGAAAATTTTAGAAAAAATCTTGCCTGAAGAAAAAGATGCAGAAAAGTGTAAAGAATTAAAATAGCCTTTACAAAAACGTACTTTTTACTTCATTTGATTATGAAACTCTTTCTAAGTATAAAAGAACGAGGTCGCTTCTTTCGTCCTATCTGGGACTCATCAGTTGGATGTAACTCCGTCCCAGTGAACGATAGTTTTACCACTAGGATTCGAACCTGGGACCAAACGATCCGGATCTCGGATCAAACGATTAAGCGTTATCCACTAGGTCACATAGTCCTAGTGGTTAATTTTTGAGCGACGAGCAGATTTCTTATGTTATCACTTGCATTATCCTGTCGTTGATCCAGCTAAACTGATGAAAAAAAACATAAGCAATATCGATGCATCCTCATAGGAGCCCATATAGCAATCGAGACAGTATATACTGATGAAATATCATTTAAAATCTCAGAACTGTGTTCAAACGTAAGCAAATTCAATAACTGCCTACTATTATGATTTATCATGTTCCATTATTTTAACTGGTCTCTAGACTCTGACCGTATATATATAATATGCTTCAAATATTGTAGCAATAATTATTGAAACATTCATTCCTTCTGTACATTTCCCAAAGTTTTTGTCAACGCCCAACTGTAAGGTAAGGGATTTTATATCAGGTCATTCTGATTAATTCAGTAGATTTTCTGGTTTCGTTTGTTGAGTGTAAACTTTGATGCTTTTGTTTAACAAAAATAAGAATTTATAGCGAATACTGTAATGTTTTCAGCTTTTTCTTGTTGACTCAACTGACAACAATTTGAGTCAAAGGTATCCTAATTTATATTTTTATAACTAATTTAGTCGTAAACATGCTCATAAGAACTCGTATTTAGCAACTTAAACCCCAGATACTTTAGCTATCACCTGAGCTATCGAGTCACTTAAACTGCTGCTTGTTGATTTTAAGGCATGTCCTGGTCACCATAGAAACCAACAGAAGATACATAATGCATAATTTACTGAGTATTTATCAAGCATACAGATTATCCTGTAGGAGTCTAATAAACATGTTTGTAAATATCTGTAACGATTCAACCTTCCTCCATCAGTGAGAATGAAATTCTCTACTGCAGTTTAAGCATTTAAGTTCATTTCTGAGTATTGTTGAATGTTAAGTTATACTTTTTTCTGACAACTTTCATTTATTTACTTAATAATTATTACTGTATTCATATATTTCATTAGGTCAATGATCCACCAGTTCCAAAGCCAATGAAAAGAATCGAAGGTAAGTTAAAAAATGACGTATCCTGAAAGCCTAATGACGTGTACTTTGTTGCATAGTCAATAAACCAGAGCATTATATCAAGGTTATTGTCTTAGGAGTATTCAGTTTCTTCTGTCAAAAAATAATTTTCTCTGTCTAGAGTTTATGTTAACATTTCAATGCTGTACGACACAGTTTTCTTTAGTTTTATGTGCAGTGAATAAAATAATCTCAACACAAATTGAACAGTCTTAAGATATTACTTGATTAAGCATTTTGATAGATTATCCCATGTGTATGCATACTCGTAAACACTTTCATATTATAGCCCAACATGGCAACTGAAATATGTGTACCAAAAAAAATAATACAAGTAATTTGTTTGATGACTGAATTGCAAGAAATAATCACAAACAAGGCATAAGTCGTAGTCTTTTGTTCGCCAGTTTCCTTTGAATCTATAATTTGTAGCATAAGAGCTGGAAACATTATCCCGTTGACGTACTCTCCTAGCTGATTATTGCCTAGAAGATTCATGACGAAATGGCTTAACTGCTGATGACGAGCAGTGAAATTCAGAATGTGCATTTCGGCTTACTGAGAGGTGGGTGCTGGCTCAAGTCTCAAGTAGAACTCTATCACTTACCGGAATACAAGCAAATGTAGTTGGTGAATCTAAGATGGGACATAACACACATTCAGGATTTCACTTCTAGCCATTATCAATCAAATTACACACCCATTTATTACAACAATAAAAGAATATGATTTCTGTATAGAATATTTTTATTTTTCAAAAGACTGCTATAAAGTCATACAATCATATTTATTCTTAGTGAAAGAATAGTTTAGTGCACCAAAAAACAAAGTAGTGGTAATAGGATCAATTCTAGTAGGAAACGTTCAGAACTAAACAACTGTTTAATGTTTTCAGCTTTTCAAGGTTTTTTGGCTAGGAGAAAATTCAGGGTGGCCAAACAAAGATATAGGGCTAGCTCATGGGGTTGCTGACTATTGGTCTGAGACGTGTATAAAGATACAGACTCCCTGGTTGGGGTCCCCAGGAAGAGAGGAATCAATGGTTGAGGAAACTTGGTGACATGGCTGAAAATCGGTTACAGTGGCGTAGGTATATTCATCACCACTTCATATGGTCTAAAGCTTGAATATTTGCATTAACCTTTATCTTCAAATTGTTTTTCTCATATAATTTTGTCCACTTTGGCACCACTCTTTTTCTATTCACCTGTTCTTTATGCATTGCTGTGAGAGTCGTTTAAGAAAGTGAATTGATTTTGACGTGTAAAGCAGCGATTACTTACTGGCAAAATGGCTAAAATAACAAAATTACCTTGTAAAGTTTAGTAAAACTAACTAAAAAGTGGATAATCAAGACTACTGTAGAAAATACAGTATATAAAATATTTCCGAGTGCAAACTATAAGTTTTCATCCGTGTAGGCGCTGTTTCATCCATGCATAAATACTTGAACTATAAGCTTATGGAGTAGCACTAGCTAACTTCAAAGACTACTATCAAGGATGAATGATAGTGAGCTGACTGATATAACTTCATGAAATGTTTACACCAAAATAATCTTATTGTAAGCTACCAAAGCAACTTAACCAAACTGTTGTCCACAACAGTGGACAGAGCTACATACTTTTTGGTAGTTTAGGTTTAAAGTTGTCATCCTTCTGTCAGTGGATGCAAGATTTCAGCTTCGAATCAGTCACGTTTTTAGGAAGCATGTTAATGAAGGAAATGTGTTCAAATATTGCCGTAACTACAGAGTGACATGGAAGATCTTTGTACAAAAATAGTTAAATACATGTTTTCTTGTTCCAAAATAAGTTCATTATTATCTGTGTTTTCATCTCATGCTAATAATACTAAGGTTTCTAGCAACTAGTCTATGTACAAATTAATCAAATGACAAGTTAGTCTAAAATACAGTTGGATATTTGAAGAGGAGACCAATTAACTATGATAAGTGACAGGTCTTCAAATATAGAAGGACAATCTTCAACTTATCTGTAAGGGATTTTGAGAGGAATCATATCTAACAATTGAACTGTGAATTAGGCATTGGTATAATTCTACAGGCCTAGTTTTACACACATACAATGACATCAATTTCAGTCAGATATTTGCTCATGCATTTATAGACTAGTCCTAGTTTGAAAGCCAAAGGAAGTAAATAGATTGATTCACTACATTCGCTTCATCACAGAGTAAACTAATCAGGTTTTAGGATCTATAAGGATTCAAGTTTGCCGTGAAGTTTACATCTATTCATTTACCTTAAAGTAGCTTGAATAAACAAATTTTAAACTGATGGGTTAAAAAATTGTCTAGCACAGGCAATGTGACAGTGAAATTATTGAAAGCATATTTCAAGATGGCTGGAGATAATCTTGAGATTAGCAAAAGTATTGGGCTGAACAGGATACGAGATGAAAAAGGATTAATTTTGTAGATAACACAATGAGAACATTTCATCTGCATTGTTTGTGAACATTTAACGGATATTATTTTTTAATTTTCAACTTTGACATCGTCTTAGGAGTATACAAGGATGGCAGACTTCGAAGATAATAAAAATTCTCTAAGACTGCTGTTTGTTGATTCATGACTACTGACTAATTTTAACTTGCTATCCACTGAATACCTATGTATCCCAGTGCATATATATAAACTACTAAACATTAACCTTAGGCTTCACTCCTGAAGGTCGCTCTGTTCCTAATAAACGAGAAAAAATGGGTAAAAATGATGAAAGTGTATTGTCAAGTCGAATATGTATAAAAATTAACGGTTTGTATACATTCCTTTGTGACCTTGGAAAGTTCTACAGTTTTCTAGAGAGTCTTTTAGCCATTTTGAGTTTCACACGTATGATTATATGGTTTTTCTCGTGCCACGATTGACTGTCAAGGCTTTTCAAGGATTTCTAGGCTTCTTCAAGTAATCTACAGGATATTGTCACATGTATTTTTAAGGTATCATCAATTAGTCTTGACTAAATCAAGCAAATTATTTTTCTATGAAATGAATCTCAGGCTTAACGTAGTCTTTTATAACAGTTTATTAAATGTACACAATAATATACATCATAGCTAAGGTTCATGTTATTCGATCATTGTGTTCCAACAAAGAATATTAAAGTAATTGACAACTATAACTTTCAGATGCCCACAATTCCAATAAAAATAACCCAGAAACATTGAATGTTAGCTTATTACTTTTCAAATAAACAGTCATCTATGTTATCAATTTTTTTTATCAGTTATCAGATTATTATCAGTTCCGATGGTGCCCATTATAACAGAAGTGATAATTTTCCGTTTATATTGATAATATGCTTAACTTCAAACCATAGAAAATTAAAAAAACAATTTCCTTCTTTAAATAATACAAATTATTTCATGTCTCTAGAATTGATGAAAACTTATCAGGAAAATATTTTTCCTTTGTAAACAGAAATGTACAGGTTGTGGTCACCAATCGGTAACAGATTTATTTACTCAGTGTTGTACAGTCTGGCATAGATAGCTAGATCGGCCACCTATACGTGAATCGCGTCCACTCTAGTGGAAGTTGCATCGTAACCTGAATATGTTTTTGATGAAGTTTTTTACTGTAGCATAGAGTGAGGCAAGTTCGAACCACAGGGGGAAACGAGTCTCTTCATGATTGCAAATACTCCTTTCTGATGAATTCTACTAGCAAGTATGATCCCTAAGTCAAGCAGGACTTCCTGACAAATGACTCTTATCAACTAACACTAAAATATAACTGCACTAACGATGTGACTGTGAAACTTTCCAGTTTTGAGACGATGGAGAATATTTGTAGCTCACGATGATGATTTAGATGGTTTTCCGTTCTTTGAGTTGGGTGGTTAAATCTTGAAGCTTTCATTGTCACTCTAGAAAATATCATCAGCGTAAACTTCAGGAAGAAGTGAGCTATAGGGTTTTCTCTATGATTTATTTAGTAGCTTGCCCTAATGACCTTGTGTGTGTTTGGTTGTTCTTGTCATAGTCTTGTCACGGTCTACACATATACTTCGATCGGTTGTTCTAATGATCTGAAACTTGATCTTCTTGTTGTTGAAGACAATTACAAAACTTTGGTAGAAACGACTAATCACACCTAAGGCCATCAAGACAAGCTACTAAATGAATTGTAGAGAAAATCTCATAGCTCATTTCTTTCTGAAGTTTGTGTTGATACTATTGTCTACAATGACAATGAAAGCTTCACGAATAAACTGTCCAGCTTAGAGAATACAACCCTAGAACTTGCCCTTTATTACGAAAGTGTTCTTTAACGATTATCAATATTAATAAAGGAAGTTAAAATTTTGGTATTCCTACAACTCTTAGTACAGTTTAGATGTATGAACTACTGCCTAACTTCCAGTTTTGTGCACTGTAAATAAGCTGAGTGAGTAAAATTCGCTTGAAATAGAGTATGAAGATACTAATATACTTCTTATCATCTCACTTTAATTAACCACTAACAGTTGGTAGAATGGATTCAGCATACTGAACGCTTCTGTTGTGGCAAATATCGCTCTTTGAATAACTTAAATGTTCAAATCAAACTCAGTGGCTTAAATTCACTAACATTCTACTTTCTTCATCACGGATATATCTGTATCCTTCAAGATATATATTTTAGGAAATAGGTGTGATATCGTAATGTTAGTTCACCTGGTAAGTGCTGACAGCGATTCGCAAACAAAGAATAGTCTAGTTAGATGGAGATAATCGACAAAAAGAAGCCATAGACGTAGGTTTCGTGCTCGTCGGCAATCATCAATATGGTGTATTCGTAACGTCAATAGAACTGATCTCTTTTGTAAGGTTTGAACATACATCATCCAGTGATATAGTCCCAGATATTACCACCACTGAACCAGTCAGGCTGTGACTGACCTCCTGGAGAACTAGATTAGGTACACTGTGATTGGTGAATGGAGAGTAGTCAATTTTATCTTGTCTATTCCTAAT